AACCGGAAGCGTTCGCATTCACGGTTGACGACGCCCACATGCGTAAGAAAATCATCATCTTCGTTCATAGTTAGCTTCAAGCAACGATAACGAGTATTAAACAGTGACGAGTTATCGCCAAAATGTTGGATTAATGTTTGAACTGTGTCTGCAAATGATCAGATTGCAATACTTGTCCAGCTCATTTGCACCCAGTTTACGAAGTAGCAGCCGCACTTTCCAAGCATCATCTTGATTGGCGAAATCAAATTTAAATAGATCTTCATAACGCCTGAACCACATTTCAAAAGTAACATTAGAATCAGGATCGTAATGAAATTCAGCTATGCTATTTGCGATGCCATCTACTGATGGTGCCGTGGTTGAACTAGACGTGCTTGGCTGTAAGGGAGGCGTAACCTTGGTCTCCATTAACATTTGCATCAATTTTAGCTGCTGCTCAAGTAACAGTTCAAGTTTGGCAGGGTCCATAATTCAAAAACCACCGTCGCCAATTTGTTATGTTTCGTTATTGCTTGAACGCGATTACTGATGCGTCTTACTCGAACGAAACGAAGGATCAATGATTCAGCGACTCGATAGACTATTCTGGTCCGTTGTCCCCAACACTGCTAACTCGATCAAGAAGTCTGAGTAAGGTGTAGAAAGTGTATTCTACAGACAAACAGCAGATAACAAGTCAGGCAGGCAGATCAGATCAAGCATACAAGTTAAGCGTATTTATACAAATATTTACAATCGATATAGTCATGGAAGATTTTTGAACATTAATCAACAATTGACTGCTATTTGAACATTTAATCGATAGTTCATCAATTGACCTATTTGTACATTTAATCGATAGTTCATCAATTGACCTATTTGTACATTTAATCGATAGTTCATCAATTGACCTATTTGCGCATTTAATCGATAATTCATCAATTGACCCCAATAAAAATATCTAACATTTAATCGATAAGATGATCGATAAGATAAAATTTAAAAATATGAGTTTGGGGATCTATCGTCCTCATGATACTAGTGACCCGTCAGTGTAGCTAAGGTATTGATTGGAAATCCGACGGCATCCCAATAAACAACTATGGCTTAAACGCGTACCTATCAACGTACTACTGCAACACATCATGTCGGCTGAAATAGGTTATAAGGAGGTCCGGACTTAGGGGTTTCCCGTTGCTTGCTTATCATATGGTATTTCAATCAGAAATTTAGATTACAGGTACGGACTGTTGGGATGTGTAACTGAGTCAACTGTCTTAACTTGAAATTACTACTCAACTAGGTGCTGACAGGCTCGCGTTTCACCAGTTTCTTGCAACGATTAACTAGATAAAACGAAATAGCACCAAGTCTATAAATTTATTCACGAACTTTAATTAACAGTGGAATATGAAACAAATATTTACAACAGGTTCCAAATTACATTGTAGCATTGGTAAAGTGAAGCTGCAGTAGTTGTTTCTTTTCAAACCACAGGGTATAATAAGTAACTCCAAAACACTGGAAGTGGTTGTGAGACTAAAGTGGACGTCCGATATGCTTTTAATAATCTGCTGTTACTTGGGTCTCCCATAAAGTTTCATAGGGCCATAGTTATAAAGCTGAATGACTTTGTAGGATTTGTGACGGCTCATTCCTGTTACATTCTAAGTAAAAGATAGTAATGGATTTAGTCAAGAATGTTGAAAACGTAAATAAACAAATTACATGTTTCTAAGGAAAGAATTTATGCAGTTGTGATTTACCTCGACTTCATAAATATCAGATCACGCCAGCAACTAAAACGTGTGGAAAGTACAGCATCAGACAGCTTTATTATTTTGCTCCCACTTAAGTATTCCCACGCATCTGCGTCTGGTTTTACAGGAAGATATACAAGTTGATTTAGTATCTGGTAAACTCAAAGTTCCAGTTGTCAAAAAGACTCTTAACATTTGTCCACAGCCAGCAGCATTTAATTAAGACAACACCCCTCATCTAAGACTGTATACTGCTGTTTTGCAGGCAAATAAAAGCTCACACACTTAGCTATTCTGCCACCAATGTTATTGCTGGGGAAATCGTTCAATGACAGTGGTCTTGAAACATGAACAGAGTTAAACGTACTGTCTACAAATAAACACCAAACGTACTTAAAGCTATCTTATAATGTATGACAGCAACAGTACCAAATGCATTTTTTTCCTATTTTTAATCAGACTGATTTGAATCAGTATACTCATTAAAAAACAGGCAGCTCTACTTACTAAACTGATCTGTTTCGTTACAGGCTTCAAGCACCATACTTAAGTATACTATAATTCTATAGACTAAACTAAATTATATGGCAATCAGGAATACTAAACTAAGCAAGTGTCATAATTATTGTTCCATTTGCACAGACATTTTGCTAAACGGAGTCAAATGAACATAATTCAGCCGATAGAACCAAAACATGAAATATAGGCCAGTCAAACTTACCTAAGAGAAAACGAAGGATACATATATACTGCTTTCATACTGAAGACAACAGGCAGTTGTTCATAAAAACAGTACAAAAAACTTTATTCAGTAAAATCATGCACTGACAGTCTATCTGGAAACAGTCAACTATGTGAATAAACTCACTATGACTTGAGATATCATCCCAGCGTGCAATGGACGTTCAGTGTAACGCAGTTGGACGTGGCGAATAAAAATTAAAAACAGAGGAAAATTAACTACATAATCTAGTTATTTTATTAAAAATACATTATGAAATGACAAAATCTGTGGTTACTTGAATGCACAGATGACCCTGTGCGATACATTAAGTTTACATGGTTGCGTTGCAGATAAATTCACCCTTAGTAGGGTTGTCACCTCCAATGTATATATGTTAAGTGAAGTTGATTTTAGGAAGATTGAACACAAGTATACCCAAGACGAGTAGAGTGGGATAATCCAGCATGCGATTATCGCACTTGGTGTCAGCATTGGGCTCCCTGTAGATGACTCTAACTAGACTCCTTGAGGTTTCAGACAATCTCAATGAGCACCATACAGATTCATCGAAACTGATGAACTCTTGGGTATGCACTTCATGTGCTACCAAGCAGGACTGCAGGTACAGGTCTGCTTTTCCGTCCACTCCTGTTTTTCAGTCGTTGAGAAGCGAAGACGTACCGCGTGTTGTTAGCTCCTGACCCACATTTGAGAAGATATCCATGTTTCAGGTATTCCTATCAGATGAGGGTTATTAGTATCACTTAATTCACGCAACTCATCCATTTTATCAGGTAAACTCACGGTGTTCATATATAGGCGGTTTATGCCTTCATTTTGAGACGTGTGAGCTTCCTCCTCCTGTTTGTACAAATGAGCCTTATGTAAATAAACAGGCATGCTACCCACATTGAAGTTTCCAAGTTGATAGCCCCTGTCCCTTCTGCGTTTTTTCCACGATCTTCACAGTGCTTGATCTTTGCATCACATGGCCTGTCCGGATGCACGTGGAGTCTAGTCGTCAACCGACATCTGTTGGCACAAAAAGGTTCGGGAGTGGCAGCCGCCATATGGCAGGATGGGAATATTATCCTTATATACGGGGGATACAGTCCCTGTTCTCCTCGGTAGTCATACCATTTGTCGAGTCATTATGCTCTCGAGCTCCAAGGATTGCTTTATGAATTTCCACTTCAGAATATTATAGTCCGTATGGTCGGAGTCCACGTTTTCTGGAACACTTTGCACAATGATATTTCTCCCACAAGAGAACGTCTCGCAAGATGCCTCAGGAATGCTTCTTATGAGAATGAGTTTAGAATATGGTATATTAAGCAGTATTCTTACATCTACTTATTTTGGCAGATAGCTGGACAACAGAACACCCTCCAATTCGATAATGTTCATGAGCAGTACACGAAGGAGTCTTGGGTGAATTTTGTGTTCCGAGTCCTTTCTCGAATGATCCGTGCAACAGTCAGTGGCTCAATTTTGGGAAGTTCAAGCTTTCAGTTCAACCCTTCCCAAAACATCCTTTCATGTTGTCCTGAAGACTGAGAGGTAGGTCAAAGTTATCTTCAGTGTTCGCGATTACAAGAGAACAATCTCGAATCATGATGGCTTTCCAAGTTTTCCGGGCGCGTTGAAGTTGGAGTCCTTTTGTTTGCTAATTGGATTGCGCTCCGGATTTCCGTGCTCTATGCTGACTGTCTGGACAATCTTAGAGGTAGATTTCACAGCCAAGTCACTAGCTGATTCACATACAAGATATGAGTTGTTCGGTATTTTCGATAGTGAAACTACGGTCCTTTCGCCAACAGAATTTTCTAAGACCACAGTTGCGCTTGAGGGGCCTGTGCTGGAGGACATAAGTTTGTTGAAAGAGTCTAACACCATCGGTTTTATGGCGGTACAGAGCTTCAGCATATCTTGACTAGTGTCGATGTGTGTTCCATCAATACTAGTGTCGTCGAAGACCCTCTTTTCTACTCCACTCCACGTTTATATTCATTTATTCGTTTCAGCACTGCCTTTTCTAAGGGTTCCTGAAAATATTTTTGTAGACCTATCAAGAGGATGATACTGCTTCTTAGAAAATCCCCATCATTCATGCTTCATGTGTATGTGATCTGACTTACTAAGTCTGTTGTAAGAACTTGCCATAAGATCTGTGCATGGTTCGCGAAACCGACCTTTGTATTTGTCACGCTGCATACCACGGGTGACAGCAAAACAACATCCAGGTCGCTTACATGAGTTTTTCATGACCATGGTGAAATATGGTCCTAGCCAAAGTTTAAGGCCGTGAAACAAAAAAACATTATATTCAAAACGGCTAAATCCGGTGATACAAAAGGTTTGGATATATTAAAACCAGCATCGACGTGGAAAACTATATTAATTGATCGGGCAAAACTGAAAAAGAAAAGTAGTCTACTAAATGTCTAGCTCAGGACAGATTCTTCAGATCAAAAATGGTGCTCTTTTGTGTAAGGACACAAGGAAATTTGACAAACGCAAATCGCATCGGAACTAAACATTTCTTCCGTAAAGCGCGCTCGAGTATCAAATGACTATCTGAACAATCTAGTGTTAGATCGAGTGTGTACTTTATCTGTATTTTCTTGACATTCGGGGAAGTTACATCCATGAAGTAGTTAAAACTATGCTCTCAGCTTTTGGCTCATTGTTGTTTGTTACAGTTAATCCGTGTCCTTAACACGTGCATCCGTTCAACATTTGAGTTCTGGCCATGGATGAGTTAAGGGAAAGGAACATTGTTCTTGCAAAAATATGTGAACAAGCTGAACGATATGATGGTGAGTCAAAATCTCTTCAAATGTTTTGTTTTATATATCTACAAACACTGGGTATAAATGTAGACAGAAGTACGTGTGTTAATTTACTTGCAAATGCCATCTGTATGTATGAGTGAACTTCAATTACTGGCATTAACCGTTTCCATGATAAAGTCCTGTATATTATTTTATTACTTCTGACCCCAACCTCTATACTTCATCAAGTCAGCATATTTTGGTTGACCCATTTTAATCCTTTAGGTGAAAGTTTCACTTTGTCTCCTCGAATGTCTACCTGCCCTAGTAATTCGAAAAATGTATGTTATTAGAAATATACATTTTGCATATGTCCGGCCATATATGATTTTTCCAGTAGGTAAACTGCTTAATGAGTTGCGTTATAGCTAGCTGCTAAATTTAAATAATAAGGAAGAACTGAACTTGTATTGACTAACCTATGCATTGCAATTGCTTAATTACCCAAAGTCAAATTAAGGATAACTATTACTTTGTATTTGCTCTCAAACTTATACGAGTTGCTAGTCCATAAATTCAAAATTAATGTTAACCATATGAAGGAATTTCAATATAGTGTATTTGGTTCTCTAGATCAAAAATCACAGGTTGAGAACTAAACGAGAGTCTAGAATGGATAACAGAAGTGCAAATAAATCCTATCCAAACCCCAGGAAATTTATAGCATGTGTTCTCTTTTATGGACATGAATTTTGTTTTTATTCATATCCTTAGTCTTAGTATTCATTTCTGCTGTCGATAAGATACCACGTAGTATGTAATGCTCCTTTGATTTCTGGTTTCAAAGTACAGTTTCTGGCGAGACTATGATTTATGAACGAACCAGCCAGATATAAGATAATAGGTTCTAGATTTTCGCGCGAAATCCACTCATTTATTTGGCTAAATGGCGTTTCGGTATTTTAGCTAATGTCAATTCGTGATGAAAAACCTAATTTGATTCCTCACCACAACCATCCACTGTAGGTTAAAATTCTAATTCTTTGCATTGGTTTATAACCCTCGTTTAGTCCTACTTAATGGGTGGACACTCACAAGATAACTTTACCGTCGCCCAAAGGTCGCCACACAATTTCTTAACCGAATCAAAATCCCTAACTATAGGAGGGATGGCATTGTAATTTGTTCAGATCTTGAGTTCATTATACTCCCACATTAGTTTTGATCCCAGTATATTCGATCGCTCTGCTTTTCTTTTCACGTGGAATTCTTGAATGCAATGTCATGATTGTACGACTCAGTCTCTAGTGCCTTCATAAGCCTACGTTATTGCGTTTCGCCACTGACTATTCAAATGGCTTTTAGAAATTTGTGTACATTTGTCTGAAGGTCTTGGTTACATTTTGCATCAAGCTCATGGATATTATCAATCCATGCTTGACATCTGAATAATGAATTTTGTCACGACTTAATTGGACTAGTAATCACTATACTAATCGCGACAACCCCTTTTAGAAATGGTCAAAGCTATGATTGAGATAGCTACGAATAGCGAAACTGAGCTAACAGTCGAAGAACGAAACCTTCTATCTGTCGCATACAAAAACGTCATTGGTGCCCGCCGATCATCGTGGAGAATAATAAATTCAAAGGAGAGCCAAGATGAAGCTAAGGGGTCAGACGAAATACATATAACCAAGAGATTTCGAGAAGAAGTGGAAAAAGAGTTAGACGAAATATGCACGAGTATTTTGAACCTTCTGGATAATTGCCTGTTACCAAAAGCTGTTTCAGACGAATCAAAAGTCTTCTTAAATAAAATGTTAGTATTGTTTTAGTTTCAGTGCATTTTTTGTTTAGGAGAGGCGATTATTATCGCTATAGAGCCGAGTATTCTGTCGGGAACCAAAGAAAAGATGCAGCCGAAAACAGTCTTTGTGCATATAAAAAAGCGGCAGAGGATGCTGAAAAACTTCCCATTACTCATCCTATTCGACTAGGTCTTGCTCTAAACTTTTCAGTGTTTTATTATGAGATTCTTAATAACTGTGAACAAGCGTGCAAGTGTGCAAGAGTAGCGTTTGATTCGGCTATCGCTGAACTAGATACATTATCGGAAGAAAGCTACAAAGATTCAACAATAATTATGCAACTATTAAGGGATAATCTTACACTTTGGACCTCAAATAATGAAGGTAAGTATTCTTCCTCGTGTAATCTTTTTCTTTAGGCGAAAAGGATACTGCTGCTTCTCCTAAGGGTGATAAGAAGTGACCATTGACTTTCTATCCACTTTCTCACCTTAGTAATACTGATTGCTTCTTTTTACTCTGTGGATATCTGTAAGAAAAAAAGCTTCATTTAATTCTTCCAGCTGGTCAGTATTTGTATTCTGCTAAAATTGTGCAGAGGTTATTCAATATAGAACAATTTGTCTAACTTTTCTGCTGTTTTTTAATGCTTACCTCGGGTCCTACTAGGGCTTTTGGAACTTATTTTGTTTCAAGTCAACATAATAACAAAGTTTTTTTGGATGAAACTATGAATTTGAAGTGGGGAGCGAGTACACGGTAAATCTGAAGACGGATAGACCTAAAAAGTTCTGTAAGCATTACGTTTTAGAGATCTAACAGTGTAATTCAATCTATCTGATAAGAAGAAAGAAATGGGCCTATTCTTCACTGATTCGTAAATCTAGTGCATCCGATAAAAAGTAGTTAGCATTTATAAGAAAACTAGGTAGACCTGGAAGTTATGTTTGAAATACAAAAGAAATAGTTGTGCACGAAGGTGGGTTGATTGTCCTAGATACTTTCAAGAGGTATTGATCCACTTTTATTGCCATGATATTCTCTTTTGACAACCACAGATGAATCACATAAACTTATATTTTAGTGTCCTTATTTATTTATTTTAACACATAGATATTGGTACAAGGAGGCACCAAATACATATGCGCCACACAAATCTCATTTGATATATGTGAGGGCTGTGATACTGCCCGGGTGCCCAAACCGAAGCAGGGGGCTACACCCGGAGTCTTTGACCTGAAGGTTTGATCCACAAGGCAGTGGAGCATCGTAGGGAAATGCAGTTCCATGGTAGCCGGTGACCAGCGATTGGTTCATACGCCACTTGTTCCTTCAGGATCCTGGAGCCCATGTGCACCATTGGTTTGGAATCAGGGATTCCCAACTCCCCTAGGTGAACTCTCCATGTCCACCAACCTCGTTAAAGCGTCAGACATTCGCTTTCCGTCCTCTCAATTTCGTAAACACCCCCTCCACGAGAAGGCAGTGAGTGGGAATTCCCTGGCAGAGGCTACATACGCGTGACCATGTTTGAGCATTTGGAGAGGGAGAGCAGACTCTCCCCACTCTCGGCCGCACCAGGGTATTTGGGGGCGGATAAATCTTTCGCCTTTTGGTGTCCAGGAACATAGACATGCTTTCTGACGTCCTACTACAATGGCGTTCCTTGACCTCAAGGTACCATCCAACTCCAGTGATTGAGAGAATCTGTCGCATCGTATATTGAAGAAGTACATCAACCTTGTAAGGCTTTCTACTCGAACACTACTGGTTGAGCAGCTTATTGGAAGCTGTCATCGGAATTGTTCATCAGGCTTGTCCGCTTTTCCTATTTTTGTTTATATTCGTCATAGACACACTTTTAAAGATAACACTTGCATCATCTGAATTCAAGGATTGATATTCACTTGTTGACTTAGAATACACAGATAATATAGTTCTTTTTGGTGACGAAATGCAGAGTTTTCTGACCTTAGGCAACAATGCAAACTTGCTTGGGATGTGGTTTTCCCCTTTTGGATTCAAAATATCATTTCAAGATAAGCTCCCGAATTAATGATGGGGAGTAAAGTAGATGAAGTTATCGATTGCTCCACTTATAATGGCAGCCTCACCAGTCCTGATGGATTGGAGTCTGACTAAATTCTGATACGTATTCAGAAGACGACTGGCTTTTGCCAACTGGCGTCACTTGTAGACTAGGTGAGTTGTCCGTCTTCCAACCACAGGGTGAGTTTACTATACAGCAGTTCGGTTTGTTCTACTTTATGGATTTGAAGCATGAGCATTAAGAGTAAAGGATATCCGTAGTTTTCTAGTCTTCGATCATGAGCATCTTCGAGGCATTGCTCGTGTGTTTTGGGTCTATCAAGCAACCAGTGTCTGTTAAGGATAGGGTAATAGGTACAAATGACAAGTCGATTGATGAGGTAGTAAGACTTCATCGCCTGATATGACCACCTCCCTCGACGGACGATGTTTTCTGGTATAGAAGTAGGCCACAAAAATGCTTAGGGCGGCTAAAGCAAGACGTAGAGTCATTTCATGAAGTCATTGACGACTGGACTGAGTCATGTTAATAGGTATAGACTATTTGGTCCGTGTGATTATCGAAATCAATGGTTAGAGATTTTGAATGGCTTGGCTCAAAAACGTCTGCGATGGTGCATGTACATCCATTCTTTGTCTTCCCTCGAATTCTTCATAACTTTTTATTTCACTGAGTTTTATTTTTTCGAACCGTATCTTCGATGCCTAACGTTTTTTATTACCACTGATACTGTTGATACCTCTACTATTCTAAGATTTAACTTGACAATCTCATCCCTGTCCAAATTAGGTATGGTAACTTAAAGTGATGTACATGAGTGCCAGGTTCTATTTTGTGATTGGCTTACTTATCAGTTCCTGTGCTGCCGTGCCGTAGCATCTCAGCTTCATGTTCATTTGTGCCAAATTCTACGTTAATTACTAAATATCGACTCAACAATCCTTACTGTTGACACGTGTAACCTACATTTCACAGTTTTGTGATACACATCTGAGCCAAATTATAACTGGTCACTGAACCGAAAATCACCAGTATCATGACCCTTATATTCCCGACTAATATAAATGCTCACGTCTGAAATACGCATTCTTAGTTCCTATATATCGATGGGAAATAAATCGGGAGATTATGTTGGATGATAAATGGTGCTGCTTTACATCTCCAAATTTTACCTCATTAAGTTAAATTACTCAAATCTTTTTGAGATTCATTTATGAAGCCAAGCTGAGTTGTTGTTTATTCATTTAGCTGACAATAAATTCACAACTTAGGCGTCTCATACACTAGTGGTATGTATCACACTCAACTCATTGTATTTGATTGACTTCAAGTCGATCACCTATCAGATCAGTCTACAAACTTAGCACTTGTCACCCATGAATGTCAGTTTATGTCTCTACACTTCAAATCACGCGGAAAGGATGAGAAGCTAAAGACTTGAATTAATTTCAGTGGTAGTGGATAACTATTCATAAAGCCATTTTAGTGATTAAATGAAATTTTAATAATGATATCTGCCCCTCTAGCTTGTTCTTCGAAAGCTCAATCCTACAAATAATACTGGCACACTGCTGCAAGGATACTAGCGATATCGATACCGCTTGATAGAAATGTAGGTCCTTTATTGTTTCAAGCCTAATCGTTATTAGCAAAACTACTTGGATATTTCCCGAATCAGCAAGTTAGCTATTAAAGTAATTTGTTACTACTGTTTAAGTAAGCTGTAAAAAGGAATGACGATCCACATTTGAGCGTAAACTGGTTAGACAGATACGAAAATAGGGCCTGACACTTTTGGGTTGGCCCAAGTTACCATAATTGGTTAGCAGAACGTGGCCAAAACCATGTAGCAATAGTCTTGGAAATATGGTTTAGGAAGACTGAATTGGAAGGTATGCATAAAGGTCCCTAGAACAATAATGAGTCAGGTGTGGAATTCGGTGCTGAGTGTATTTCACTTCGACTAGTAGTTGCTGAGAATCGTTCGGATATTATGGTTTATGTCAATTTACAATGTATTCAGATTGACTAATGTCAAAGTTTAAGTATTAGTGTTTAGTCATCTTAAAATAACTGTTGGTATTTTGAGCTCCTTAGTAACCAAAACACTCAATAATATCTGTTATATACAAATAACTATCTAAACTAGGATGAAATGAATATATACATTGTGGGACTAGCTTTATAATAGGAAAGTTCATGACCCAGAAGAACGATCATGAAGTAGAACCCAAATTACCTGATGTAGTCGGTTTAACATCTGGGTTTTCATTGATGTCTGTTACTTTATCGTACTGTACATTTTTAGCAAGTTTTTGTCAAAAAAATTTTATAAATGATAATGGGAAGCTATGTAAGTGGTAATCATCAGTCATATTTTACCCGACGATGAGTGGTTAGTCACACAATGAACAGAGGGAACAACTGGAAGAATTAAAAAATATCAGATTAGTCGTGACATATTGTTAGAAGAATTTGTCATTAATATTGTGATGCGTGCTATCGATAGACATAAGTAATATGTATCACTAGTCGAAAGTGAAATGCGTGGTGGCAAAAGGTCAAGAAGATCGAAGAGAAGAGAACAAGAACAGAGTGGTTGGTGTGGAAACGAAGGAATAATCAGGTTTGAGACAAATGATCAACATTTTGCAAATGAAGTATTTACTGCATGGTTCTCAGGTTTCACTAGAAAATTCCGTAGTTTTGAGTTGAAATGTATCTGGTTGTCTCCACTTGTGTTCTCGTTCACTGCAGTATTACTAGAGGTATTACTACAATGAGGCAGCCATATTTTTAGTTGAAAAAGTGAAGGCTTGTCATATGAATGGTGACCAACATATATTCCTTTAGTATTGATCGGATTCTAGAGATCAAGTCTCGGTGTTGTCACTAGTCTAAAAGATCGAATGGTAACGTCCCTGACTATTTAGTTGGGTGACGTGGGCTCGAGTCCCACAGAGAACATCATTGTCGACGTGTTCCAGCTAGTATGAAACTTTGGCACAGTATTTCCTGCTGACTACCAACCATCTGATATTACGACATACAAACTAGTCTAAGTGTTGTTTGAAGAGAACGGTGCTGAGTTAGAGTCTCAGAGTAGACGTCAGTCGTGGGATACAGGTACAATAAACTAGCTTATCTCAAATACGATGAAACGCGTATTCTAAATTCTATTGCTAGTCATCATCCATCTCTGCTTCAAATCCTTGTGTCTTAACAGCAATATCGTGGGAAGCTGTACAAGAGACACGTATGTCAATAGAGACTGAACAATTGTTGTCATTAACATCAACGAGAAATTCGAACAACTAATATACATAAACATATAAATTTATTTATCAGTAATTTTTTACAATTTGGATTTCGCAGATGACCTAGCCCTCCTATCGCATACACATGAATATATACAGATAAAGACAGCCAGTATAGCAGCAGTCTCTGCGTCAGTAGGCCTCAACATACACAAGGGGAAAACCAAGGTCCTCAAATTCAAAACGGAGAACAGCAATCCAATCACTCTTGATGGTGAGACTCTGGAAGATGTAGAGTCCTTCACATACCTGGGAAGCATCATCGATGAACAAGGAGGTTCAGATGCAGACGTAAAGGCGAGAATTGGCAATGCAAGAGCCGCATTCCTACAATTGAAGAACATATGGAACTCGAAACAACTCTCAACCAATATCAAAGTGAGAATCTTCAATACGAACGTCAAGGCAGTTCTACTGTACGGAGCTGAAACTTGGAGAATTACAACAACCACAGTCAAGAAGGTACAAGTATTTATAAATGGTTGTCTATGCAAGATACTTAACATCCATTGGCCGGATACCATCAGCAACAACTTACTGTGGGAGTGAACAAACTAGGGTCCAGCTGAAGAAGAAATCAGGAAAAGACGATGGAAATGGATAGGACATACAT